TGATGATCAGGAGAGCAATTTCAAGGGAACTGAGTAACTGACTATTTGCTGGACTTTCTTTCAATTTCTTGCAGGACCGAAGACCAAAGAGTGCAAGAGTAGCGTCTCCTTCACATAGAACTGCTGTTAGTAATGTTGTGAGAAAGGTAGGGTTAAAACCAATTCTACCACCAAGTGAAAATATGCAAGCCATTCATAATTCATTCTTAATAAAGTAAAGGTTGTTTGGCAAATAAAGATTTCTCCTCAGTGATTTCTTTGACCCCTGAGAGTTTAATTAATTAATAAACTAATTTCTCCTTACAATATCATCCCTGAATCACACATTAAGGTCAGGAGAATAAAGGAAATGATCACCAACTAAGGAAGCTCTTGATTGTGAAACAAATTCTCCTATTCAGTACATTAGGAAATATATAGAGGACAGAAAGGAGAATATGCATACTGATGTTGGGGTGTAAAGGGTGAAATGTTTGTTCAACAGCATTCTCTAGGTGCTCAAGCAGCTGCCATTTGAGTTGGTTATCCTTTTTTTGAAGCGGTGGCCACTTTATTTTGACAAGCAGTTGAATACTAGTCTTGATCTTAAATAAGTTTTAGATAGCTTGTGCCAACTAGTTATTCATTTTTATTATAATTATTATATTTTTTAAATAATTTTTGTCTGGCTGCAAAGAAACCTTTGGAGAACCTGGGTTCATTCAAGTAGACTTGTAAATGAATTGGAAATTTTGAAAATACAGAAGTATTTTTATTTCAGACTCGACGGCAAACCAGAAGTTCCACTCCTCAGCCATTAGCTCCCTGTGTTGAGAATGTGATCCAAGAAGGGTCATCTACACAACAAAGCAATGAAGGGAGGGGTCAGGCAAAGTTGTCACCTGTCCAGGGTGGTATGGGTAAGTAATCTGTACTCGTAAACTGTCTTCATTGACAGTTGAGCTCTGCTCTTTAAATAATTGAAAGTATACATGTGAATTGTTGGTTCTTTCTGTTAGAAATTGAGGGAAGTATTAAGCTTGAAGTTGGAGGAAATTCCTTGTAATTGTTTGCATGACACTCTAACCTGCTACTTTTAAATTATAGAATAACACACGTTGCATCAAAATTGTTTTGTGTTTTATATGTAAATGTAAAGTAACCTTGAAGAGGTCAAATCAATATCAACATGTAAGCAACTGCCCACCTACCCCTCCCCTGACCCAACAACAGTTAACTGATTACAAGTTAGAGCTAATGTTGGTTTAGGGGAGGGGTAGGTGCATAATTGTTCTGATACTGATATTGATCCAAGAAAAGACAGCTCAGTAAAATGATTTCAAACTATGCATTGCATTCTTACTAATTTTCTTTACTTTTTTGGATTTTAGATGGGTTAATGGCACTTTTGAAGCAAATAGGACAGGCATATGTGCATCTTAGTTCCTATGAATGCAAGCAGGCATTGAATGCCTTTTCGTCATTGGCACCGCACCATTACAACACAGGATGGGTGTTGACTCAAGTTGGCCGGGCCCACTTTGAACTGGCGGAGTATCAGCTGGTATGAAGTTATTTCTTGATTTTTAAATCTTTCTTCTGGCTGTTATTCAATTCCATGTTAATTTGCCAACCCTCTGCACCTTAACATCAATATCCACATTCTCCATACTTTTCTTTGTACTGTTTCTTTGGCACTGACAAGGAGAATTTGTTTATCAATCTATGCTCTATCTATCTCTTTACATTTCCTTCGCCTGTGGTGAAGGATTTATTAAGACACCAGAAAAATTTCTGCTCTGTGTGATAAGCTTTTGATATACTTCATAAGATGCTTTATTATTATTATTATTATTATTATTATTATTATTATTATTATTATTATTATTATTATTATTATTATTGACAATCAACCTGACTCTTGTTGCAGGCTGAGAAAGTTTTTGCCAAAGTGAGACAACTAGAACCGTACAGAATTGAAGGTAAATAAGTTTGATCGTGTCCTTTCCAACACATATTTTCCGTCAAAAGAGAAGAAAATACCTAAATCACTTATGCATATCTATTTATCCTCCAGGAATGGAAATCTATTCCACGACATTATGGCATTTACAAAATGAGGTGTCCCTCTCGGCTCTGGCGCAAGAATTGGTAGAAACCCACCGTACCTCCCCTCAGGTAAGGATTTTTTTTTAAGCTCGCGTTGGAATGCGAACGACTTACTCATTTTATCCTGCTAATGTACGTTCTCAACCGGATGATGTAATTGTACGAGTGTTTATTTTTTCTCCTCAGGCTTGGTGCGCTACCGGCAATTGCTTTAGTCTACAAAAAGAACATGATACTGCCATCAAGTTTTTCCAGCGCGCCGTTCAGGTCAACTCAACTTTTACTTACGCTTACACGCTGCTGGGACACGAGTACGTTCTCACGGAAGAACTTGATCGAGCCATGTCGTGTTTCCGCCAGGCTGTCAGGACAGATTCGCGGCACTATAATGCATGGTAAGTTAGTTGCCCAGCTTGTGTAGCAATTATTAGCTGAGTGTCGAAAGTGATCTGAGACTGCGTCGGTTTTGTTTACCTCGCTCTGTGATTGGTCAAGAAAATTCCCGATCTCTTCGCAACCAATTAGATGCAAAATTTATGCCAATCGTGACTTTGGTCACTCGCGTTTTCCCGCGCTTCCTGTAGTGTATTTCTTTTTGCCCTGATTTCTGAATGGCCCCTTCTATATTTTCCTTTTTCGTGATTGGCCTTAGTGATGACAAGGAGCCAATAAGAACTCAATCGAAAAAACAAACAAGTTGCCGGGAAAACGCGATTGGTTCCGGTTTTACTTCTGATTGGTCAATAGTGAAGGTGGCTTGATTTATCTCTACCAATCAGTTCATTGCAGTGAACTCTCACTTAAATGGACTCCTTTAAGTAATTAGCTCCAAATATGAAGAACTGAAGAACTATACCATAAGGGTTGTCTCGAAGTGTTCATTTTGTAGAGATACCTGTCATATAGAGGCATCTGTTAAGAAAGACTTTACCGGAACTCTAGGGAAACCATAAGTTTTTTTTTCCTTGAGGGCCTTGAACTTGTCCAAGCTGGAAGTGGCTCTGGCGTTGATTTTGCAAAAATTTTTTTCTCTGTTTTCTAGGTATGGAATTGGTATGATATATTACAAACAGGAGAAGTTTAACTTAGCTGAAATCCATTTTAGAAAAGCTTTGTCAATAAACCCATCAAGTTCTGTGCTGTACTGTCATGTCGGAGTGGTAAGTTGACTAAACCCTCGGAGGCGGGATCGCCGCAAATGCTGTAGTTAAAATTGGTAGGTTTTAGGGAACAAACTAGTTAAAAGAACCCTTTGGGTGAAGAAGGTTAACGAGAAAAAAACTTGAAAATTTACAGACCTCTAACTAACTATGTCTAATTGTAAATAAATGATAATGTTTCCAGTCAGTGCCATTGTGGACGGCAGAGACATGCGAAAAAGCGGGCTGACTTTTCCCCGAACAAAGCACCAACCGTCGTTCGCCCGCTGTACCGCTTGTCTCGACTGACCGATAGACAGGTAGCACGTTTTAATTTTTAGCCCTTCAGAGCGCACATTTTCCGCCTTCGGGAACATTTGAGACGAGTTGGAAGAGCTTTACCAGAAGTCTGGTACTAGCAATTAGTGCCAGGTCCCTTGCAGACCTCTCACTGGCTCACGTTGCTCAAGGCCTTATACATACTAACATCAATATTTCTATTCTCCACACTGTTCTCTGTACATTTACTAAGGTGCTGATATGGAGAATTTGTCAAACAATCAAGAGTTCCTTAGTTGGTGATCATTTCCTCTAATCTTATTACATTAATGCTAGATTTAGGGGTGATATTGTAGGGAGAAATTAGATGCTAGTCACTCGTAGTGATTAAAGGGTTAACGAGTACCTGCTCGTAGGCTAACTGACCGACAGCCTGAAAGATAATTTTCCCATATCTCGCGCAGGTGCAACACGCAATGAAGAAATCTGATGCCGCGCTTGTTACCATCAACAAAGCCATGAATATTGATCCGAAGAATCCGCTGTGCAAGTTTCATCGCGCTTCAATTTTATTCTCAATGGATAAACATAAGGTATGGAGCAGTTCTTCGTCGCCTTTGATTTTAGGACGTGGTCGACAACTAGTGCAAGATTTGATTTCAAGTTCTAAGCGAAAAATGTGGGAATGTATTGTTTGCAAAGCTGCTGTTTTGCTCTCCACTAGCAGCCAAGTTTAGACAAGTATCGGTATCTTACATAAATGAGGCCTTTATGATAAAAATCATATCACTATTTTTGTTTTGCGCTGTGCTATTTTTGCAAAAAAAACTCTTCCTGTGATGCTGACGGCTGTTGCGTTTTTTCCCGCCAAGATGAGGCAGTTTCGCGCGTACCTAATTTATCACAACTGGATGTATGGTACGGGAAAGTTTTATACTCGTTCTCGAATCTCTATGTCTCAAATGTGTTTTAAAACAGCTGCGTTGATTAGGTAAGTAGAGTAGAAACACCCTTAGTCATTTTCTGTTTGCTTTAACATCTTTTACGTTCTGTACTTCTCGTCAGGAGGCGCTGGAAGAACTCGAGGAATTAAGGAAAATTGTGCCTCGAGAAGCTTTAGTTTACTTTTTACTTAGCAAGGTAAGTTACTTTTATTAGCAATTTCACCATTGTATTCCAATCGCAATTTGTTTTGGTTTAATGTACAGTGTAATTTAATTAATTTTATGACAAGTTTATCGCCGCTTACACCGCAATTTTCGATTGATTTCCGTAAGTTTTCTTTGCTCTATGATTGGTTTAGAAAACCTCCGTCACTCTCGCGACCAATCAGATGCAAGACTCAAACCGATGTTCACTTTAGTGTTCATGGGTGTTTTCCCGCGCTCTAGATGATTGCTTGTTTTTACTTTGGGTTCTATGCTACACGTGACATTTTCCTCTGTTCTGATTGGTCGCTCTCATCACTGCCTCTGGTTTGTTCAACCACACAAAATTAATTTTATTCTCTTAAAATGCGTGCCTTTCCTCATTGATATTTATAGGTTTACAAAAAACTTGGGGAAAATCACTTGGCACAGATGAATTTCTCGTGGGCGATTGACTTGGATCCGAAGGGTGCAAACAATCAAATTAAAGAAGCCATTAACAAGCGATATCTCCCGGATGATGACGACACAACCATGGGACTTGACACCGCTGATACTATGGATCAATCTGTGGGCGTAAACGAACTCTCTGACGAAGACGAGGATTAGATTGTAAACGAACCTAAAAGAGCTGCTTTTGAACTGTGGGTTGAAATATAGGGACTGTATTTGATTTTGAACATTAGGAAAATGATTTTCAAATGAAATTTGCCTTCGAGCTTCATTAAAAGAGAGTTATGCTCCAGAAACTAAATGATTAAGTATTATTAAGTTTGCTAGTTGATTGTCGTGTACACTTTGAAATGTTGCGGATGAAAACGATATGGTCTCTGGAGCATACTTCTCCTTTTGAAAATTTTTTTAACGCGGTTTTGCATCAATTGGAATCTCCGTATGTTTATACGAAGCTTATAGGAGCGAAACGACCCTGGAAAATATCAGGCTACTTGTTTCATGGTACACTTTTTGTCACTGAGATATCTTCATGAAGCAATTTTCAACTGGTTGTCATAAAGGAGCAAGCAGTTATGCCATTGACACAGATATCGAGAAATTATGAGTTTGAGAGTAAAATTCTCATTGTTTTAGTATTTCTAATCACTCTCGCTCTAAGTCGATTATTATCTAGAGAAGTGATGCTTGGGGAAAATATCCGGGAGATTAGCCTCGATGCGACGTGAAACGGTGGGGTAGGGAGGACTGGGCGACTTGCTCCAGTATCACTCCTTGATACAAGAGGTGGCTGCTTATGGGGAATTGTATCGCTAGCTAACAGCAAGTAAAAGAAATTAAACTATTAATTAGATATTGGATGTTTTATAAAGTAATTAATTTAGGTTTGATATCGGAAGAGAGACTTACGTCGCATGTATCATATAACAACATGCATCAATTTAATGTGTATTTTTTATGATTGCAATTCACAATTTGTCGACTTTCGTCATCAATAACAAGTTGTTTACGCCAGCTTAAATGCGGTACCATTGTTATTGATTTATCTCGTTGATTAAATTTGGACACAACTTGGTTAAATGTTTCTTTTATCAGATACACTGAGTTTGTCCCCCCCTCCCCTCCCCCCTTAGAGGGCTGTACGAAAAGACTTACCCAACAACACAATCCAAAAAAGCCTAAGCCCACCCCTGTTCGAAGTGGTAAGTTTCTAAAGAAACTGTGGTGCTGTGTCGGCAGGGGGTATTTAAAGATAATTTTATTTCATCGAATGAGTTGATAATGTTAATTGGCTATCGTTTCGAACGTTAGCCCGTCGTTCGAATGAAACCCTTTCCCTATGTAATCTCCATTTTTGTTGTATTTTATTAAAGGTTATTTTACTTTCGGGATTTTTTCGTAAAGGACTTGTTATTTTTGAAGACCAATTTAAGTCCACTTAGATTCAAACCATGATTTTCATACCACACAGATTTTTTTTGTAAAAGCATTTTTGGGAGTGGAGTTGCTTTTATCAGTGTCCGATATCGAAATCGAAACTTCGGGGACAAATCCCTAAATTTGTTTGTCAACGCCTTAACAAATATAGGTCATATGAATACGCCACTTCCTTCACACGGAGAAACATAAGAGGTGTTACGTCTAAATCTCGTGAGGACCACGACGCGAAAGATACCAAAATTTGGTATTCGCTTTTATTTTTTTGACATAGTAGACTTGGAAAAATATAATTGACTGAGGCGTTCCCTCGCATTTTTCGTGGAATTAGTAGAAATGCTGTTAAAGCTACTTTCTCACGCGGTGAAATGAACCGTCTGGTTAAAAGCGACCAAAGTTAGTAAAAGATGACGTAATGTTTTTGTTCCAAATGTGGGGTGGACTGGAATTGAGTTGTAGTCGCAGGGGCTTCTGTAGTCACGCGGGTCATTGTGGTCTTGTTCTGAACTGAAACTTGTACTTTGGTGCGATATCAGCCTATTTTTACCGAATTCATCGCATCTAATCGCTCGGAACTTTAATTAAAGGTAAGTTCATAGCGTTATTAGAAGGTCTGTGCTGGTGTGTAAGCCAGATTTTGCCTCGTACTGCTTTATTTTGTTGGAAATTCGGAAGGAAGTTAGTCGATGCGTATTTTACATCGCCGCCATATTTGTATCTCTGACACGTTTAAATCGACAAGATGGTTGTAAGATTTTCTTGTTATTATTCCCTAACATCTCTTTGTGTTTGAGAAAGAACTTCGGATTATTTTGATTACCTTGTTCGGGATGTCAGTGACAATTTCGGCGTTTCGTCTGAAGCTAACTTTACCGGAAATTTACGAACGTTTGACTCATCTTTACGTATATTTATGAGAATGACGTTTAATTTTTGCATTTGGTCATGCTCGAACGCTTTTTTTTGAGTGGATTTTGCTCATCATAATTATGTTCTGTTTCAACTCGAAAGCTCTGTATTGCAATTTTTCTTTCGCAGATGGAAGTAGTCGTGAAACCACCATTTGTGTCATGTATTTCGTGTCACATAGTTATATCAACAACTTTCCTTATTTGAGAAACTAATGTTGTTTTCCTGGCATGGAAATTTTCTTTTGTTTGTATTAAAAAATTTGAATCATCCTGCATTACGCTGCTATCCTTAGCTGCCAGGATTTCGGATTAAGAGCTGTGCTAAAGTAAACTTCGCGCAGTTGAGGTGTTACAAGCTCCCGAGTGGAACTTGAACCGGCTATGCCCCGTCGCACTTTGTGCGTTCAGTTGAACAACATGCAAATTTTTCGACATAACGCCCTTAAGTAAATTTTTCTGTTTCCAAAATATCTTAATTACGTAAGGCTGCGATAAAAATTATTTCATCGTCAACGGTGCGAGATACACCGTGTTTTGGCAATATGTAATGGAATATTTAACATTGAGTTCAATTAAGCTGAGCTTACTTGCACTGTATTTCGTAATACTATTTTTAATCCGACGTCTTGCATCTTTTTTTGTGGCCTAGAACATTCCTTTTGTATTACAAGACTGTCTCGTAGTTTATTCGAATTTAAATGTTGTACGTTCTAAACTACAAAGCTTAATATATTCGTTAATATATTCGTTAACCATGCAATCTTAATTCGTTATGTAAATACAAGCCTAAACCATACATTTTGAAAAGTTGATTGCTTGGAAAAAGTTATGTTGAGATGATAATGTTACCCAGGGCAGTGAATCATTTTGGCTGTTATTTTTCCCAGTTGTCTTAACTATCCTGCAATGTCCTGATAGGAGAAAGTGGCATTTGAATTTTGCCTTGTCACTGTTTGCTATGTCAACTGTTTTGTGATCACCCTTACCAGTCCCAAGAGATTTTCATTCATTCTGATCAAAAGAATTGTTTCTTAAGACTGATATTTTGAAGATAAATTCAAAGCCCAGGAGATATTTTGTACACAAGTTTATAGACCAAGGTTAGCCTCTGGAATCTAATATTTCTTAGCTTTCTGGTTCAAGTTAGCAGAATTTGACAAAGAGCCATGATATTGTATATTCTCCTTGTAATAATTCTTTACCAAACTTTTCTCTTTTATAATTTTTTTAAGAGGGCCGTTTACAGGATTACTCCCTTAGAAGATTATGTATTGACACTTGTAGGTTTGATCTTCGATAAATCCACATTTTAAACTGGAATCATAAAGCTTTTACACCTAGAACAGTTGGACATTTAAGGACTTTCAATGGCTGCGAGGGGAACGGCACAGCGCCCCAATGGAGCTGTACAAGGAAAAATATGCCAGTTTAAATTGGTACTTTTAGGTAAGAATTATTTTGACACAGTTTAATGTCAGTGTGTTATTGGATCTGCAAAGAACTCTACCTGGTTTACATGTGACATATATCTTGCATACTGCTGTAATGGACAGTTTTGAAAGACATAGTTGTGTAGTCCAAACAATGATAAAAAAATCTTGGATCCTGTTGAGTTTGTTGTTTAAACCTTTTAAAGGCAGCTCCTCTTGCAGAGCTGTCAAAAAGATTTTAAGTAACTGGACTGTGATATAAAGTAGGCCACATTAAGGATCACAGGCCCTTCCACAGGTAAGGGCTTGGAGGCTGCTGAGGCCCTAAAGTGTTCAAAATAGCTGGTGCATTTTTCAGAGTAAACTTTGAAATGCATCATGTGCCAGCTTATTTTGACAACCCTCACTTGAAATTTTTAATGAGCAACTATATCTGGGCTCCTCTCTCCATGAATTGCACTCAGTTTGGTTAGACATGTACACCATACCTTATCTGAGCGGAGAGGAGAAAGGAGAGCAACAGCTCTGTCAAAAGCCACTTTTGTATAGATCAATTGCCTTGAGTGAAAGAGGACATTGCATCATTTTTTAACATTTTTGACAAAATGAGGTGCATGATTTCATGTTTTTATGTGTTTGATTTCTAATGAAGCAGTAATTTGATTTTGATTTAATCAGAAAAATAAAATTATATTTGCAAAACTTAATGTTAACTGAGTTCTCTTTTGATAATTTTACATGACAATTTTTGTGTAGCCTGCTTACAATGTTATCTTGGATCTCACAGGTGAATCTGCTGTTGGAAAATCAAGTTTGGTTCTGAGATTTGTCAAAGGGCAGTTTCATGAGTATCAAGAAAGCACAATTGGAGGTGAGTAGCTTGGAATTTTTTGCTGTGTGAAATGGGATGGCAAAAATTTTCAAATGATCGATATTTCTTCTGTATTTTCAGCGGCATTTTTAACACAGACAGTGTGTCTGGATGACACCACAGTCAAGTTTGAGATCTGGGACACAGCAGGTCAAGAAAGGTATCACAGCTTAGCTCCAATGTACTACAGGGGAGCACAGGCAGCAATTGTTGTTTATGACATCACAAACCAAGACACTTTTGGCCGGGCAAAAACATGGGTGAAAGAGCTTCAGAGACAGGCCAGCCCTAATATAGTCATAGCACTTGCAGGCAACAAGGCAGACCTTTCAAGCAAGAGGATGGTTGAGTATGAGGTATATAGATCATTGTTTATGTGATTTATTGATCAATCCTTAGAAGTGGAGCAGTGAAAGGGTTAAATTTAACAGATAATCTAGTGTTAACAACTGAGTTGAAAACATAAATTGGCCACTGTAAAGAGTTTAAAGGCTGATGTTTCGAGTGTGAGCCCTTCATCAGAAAAGCTTGAAATGTCAGCCTTTAAACACTTTACGTTGGCCAATTTATGTTTTCAACTCAGTTAACACTAAATTACCAGTTGTACTCTCCCACTGATGCAGCACCACAGTTTCTTACTTACCCCCTTTAACATTTGAATTTGTTCTGCTGATTAGGATGCTCAGTCATATGCAGAGGATAATGGTCTTCTATTCATGGAAACTTCAGCAAAGACTGCCATGAATGTGAATGATATCTTCTTAGCAATAGGTGAGTTTTTCATTTTCTCGTCAAGCGACCTGCTTGTGTGTTTTAACACTTATATCCGTGGCTAAAGAATGGCACATCATTGATTGTTTTTTGGTTTTTGACTTTATTTTCAAATTTAACTGTAGAACACAAGCTTTCCATTTGAAAATGAATTAGCAGAAGGATAGTATAGAGTAGCAGTGAAATGTCTTCCGTCCCTGTTATATTTGTAGTGGTAATAGGACCAATTGGAGTCCAATTCGGTCTGTAATCATACAAGTGATTAACAAAATTGGACAACTGCAAAGCGGGAGTTTGATTTGTTAATTACGAGTACGATTACAAACAGAATTGGACAATGTGAAGTCCAGGTACCAGTCAATCAAAATTATGACAAAATTTGAGGAAAAAACTAGACATGGGTTTTACATTTTCATAAAAAAGAACAACAGATAACTCAGCGAAATGCAAGAAAACAGTGCACATACATAACGTGTTCTGTCTGCTTACATGGGCATGACCTGTTAACTGTCCCTTTAACTGTCCTATTACATTGTTCAGTTACAAGCATGATGCATACACTGTCTTATCAGTGCTCAAATTGGTCTGGTGATAACCAATCATGAGAATTTTGGTGTAGTTTTAATTAAAGAAGTAATCAGTAGTGGTATCATTGAAATTTTTCATTATAGCAAAGAAATTGCCCAAGAGTGACACCACAGCAGCAGGGCCTGCAGCTGGTGGACGACAGCCCAGAGGTGTTGACCTCAGGGAGCAGAATGAACCACGAGAAAGTGGTTGCTGTAAATAGTTACTCTTCCGAAATCCCCTCTTATACAAATCATGTATAAATGAACAATGAACAAAGTGCAAACTAGAATGTGGGTAATGTTACACAAGCAAGATCAACAAACTGCCCTGTGCAACATTAATAGTAAATGTACACACTCTTGCCTTTAATATGCAGTAGTGATTTAACATAGCATGCAAAAAAAAAAAATTGACCAATTTGTTTGTAACGTAAGGTGACAAACTCTTGTTGTAATATGAGAAATAGTGAGAGTAGCTGATAATGATAATTTGTGGTATAAGATTTTTGTGGCAATAGTTATGTTTGTTCATCTTGTCTGTGCTTTGTGTAAACTCAGCCCTCCCTACATTCCATTTGTTTTACTAACTTTTTATATATCAAATTTAAGTAGAAAAGGACTGGGTCTGTTGATCTAAGGAAAACCTACTTGATCTTAAAGTCTTAGCAGACATTTGCAAAATTCGCACAGAAAAGTGTAATAAAAACCTTAACAGTGATAGGAATTTTTGAAACTCCCAGTGGCTTGTCAGGTAGTATGTTAATATTGTGTTGCAGAGAAAGAAGTTAAAAAGTCTTCCAGAGAGCTGGCATGAACTGTTTCACTCCAAAGACCCTATACCTAAATTTCTTTTCTGTGTTACATACATTTTCTCATATCTTAACTCTGAAATTCTGGTCCCACACCAAGCCAAATTCTCCTTAAGTAGAAGATTCTCTCTCTTCTTGTACCATTCCAGCCTAAAAGCATATCTATTTTGTAAGGAGAAATTACATATTCACCTCTCAACCCCTAGGAATCATAGGGTGTAATTATGGGTTGTGTTTGAAAGACCTCATTGAAGAGTTAAGATCCTGTGCAACTTGATTACATTAACAGCGGTGTATTCCTTTTAAATATTTGCTGGGAAAAGTTAAAGAGAATTAATTACAGCACCTTTGTAGAATAATGAGGGATATATACGCAAACAAGTTTCTGTGACTGATCTCTTCAATAAGCTTCTTCAATTGTACCTTGTGAAAAACCACTGGCTTGCGAATTGTAGCTTAGCTTCCCTTGTGTTCCCAGCCTTCACAAGTGTACTACTGGTGCTACGGCTCTCGATAAAATGACGAGTCTACAGTCTTAACTAGGCTCGTTGTTTGAGTAGTTTGTGGCAGTCATAGAATTTAGGATACTTGTAATAAAATATGGTACTGACCTTTGTCTGCACCTCTTTTTTGATATCTTAGGGTGTTCATAATAGTGATATGGTGAAGTTTTGTCTAATAAATTGAGTATGGTAGATTGTCAGTTGTACTCAAGTAGGTCATGTTTGTGTACATTTAACTGTAACTTGATTGATGGGATTCAATGTTCATGGATTTTTTGCTACCAGTTGTTACTTTTTTGTTGGTTTTATTTTGCCGGGTAACAGGTCAAATACGTAACAAAATCAATTTACCTTAAAATGATATTATTATACAATAGAAAAACATAGTTGTTTCCGCTTTAAGTTGTTCTTTCTCTCTGAGATTTTGTTTTTCAAGTTGTCAAAGCCAGATTATGTCGGTTTAAAAAAAAAAAACAAACAAAAAAACAATGCAGCACTATTACTTGTGAACAAAAAATGTCCTTGAAAAGAAATCTGTGATTCAGTATTTTTTTTTCCTCCTGAGAACAGTGTGGTCTACATAATTACAACGATCTGTTAAAGATATGCTATTCGTCATCGTCATCTGATTCCTCAGAGCTCTCCCATCTGCTATGCACAGTGAGAGTTGAGTCAGCGTCTTCAACTTTCTCCTCCTTTGGTTTTTTCTTCCTTGCTCCCAAGAAACAGGCGATAAGGGCAATAAGAAACAATGTCCCCCCTCCAGCCGCGCCCCCAATCGTCATGATCTGCTTTATTTTTTGTTTCTGTTTGTATGCCAGGTCCTCGACACACTCGTGACCATCACCAGCAAATCCTTTCACGCAAGTGCAAGTGTAGGAACCTCTTTCATTTTGACAGACGGCTTTGTGGTGACATGGTTCATCTTCACATTCGTCTATGTCTACAATTGTCACAAGAGAATATAAACAGGAACAAAAAAATAAAACAAAAGAAAATATTTGAACTGATATTCAAGTCGATGGCGCAGGCTTCAAGGTTATGAGTGTAACCCACCCTAAAAATATTCAGCCACTATCAAGTTGGGGGGAGGAGGGGCAGGGGGGGTCACAGCCTTCCACTTTTCGTACCACGTTCACACGCCTCCCCGTACATTTGTGCATCTTAGCCTCCCGACTCCCACTTATTTACTAGTGTTGCATCTTTCTGGGGAAGGGAGGTAGTGTTTTTCAAGATGAACATTATTACAGGTCAGTCCAGTTTATCACTCTAACATCTCGCTGCTGAGAAGACAGTCTCATTTCACTGTGCAATCTAATAGCTATAGCTGTTTCAAATGTTTACTTACATTTAGAAATCCCTAATATGCTAGGAATCATTCCATTTTGAAATGAAACCGACGTAACGCCAAGAGTTCGGTACTCTTAAATCCCTTTTTCAAGTTTTCCTAGGTGCATATCAATCGTTGGAGCGTGTGCGATAGAACTTGAAACGTTTGTATGCGCATGCGTATTGGTATCTCCGACCTACTGTCTCACTTTGGTAACGCCATATCGCTGAATAACGTGCTCGTACCTTTACAGTAATCCGCCTCCAAATGCATTACAAATCCTCGAGGACATTTGCACGTATAAGAACCTGGTGTATTTTTACATCTTGCTCCTTTTCGCTTGCATTTTGTTCGAATATCTCTTTTCTGGCATTCGTCCAAATCTACGAGTCAACAAAATATTTATTATTATTTATTAATGTTGTAATTTACCCTACAAAATAAATAGGGAAGCTGGTCATATCTCGAAAGCACTGATTTGTCGAAAGATCCTTCATATTAACTTTTACGACAATTTTTTTTTGTATTTTTTAAGGTCGTTCTCTCTCCTCAAACACTGCATTTCTGAAAGATTGTGTGAATAATTCAGAAGTATAAATGTAGGGAGAAATTGGATGCTGGTCACTCTGAAGTTTAAAAGTTTTTAACCCTGTTACTACCAGGAGTGACAAAACATTATTTCCCCTTACTGTATCAAATACATTTATCTTCATTTATAACTGAGACACTACGAGCCTCCTGATTGGTTAAAAATCTATCGTATTATATTGCACTGGTAAACGCATAGAAAATGATCTCGAAAAGTTTGCAAATCAATCGCCTGCGGCACGTGATTTTCAAACTTTTCTCGTGTTCTCTTCACTGTCCGCGTAGGTTATTGCGCCGGTAAACTGATAATAAGCATCCTATACACAGCTGGGGTCAACGATATCGAGAGAGTAAATAAAAAGAGGGCAAACTATAAACTCGGTTGCAAAATGAAAATTAAATACGTAGAAACAAAGGGAAGAGAACATAGATTTGCATTTTCTACCTTGACAAGAGTCTTCAAGTGTCGTAAATCCTTCCTTACAAACACAGTGGTAGGTGTTATTTTCTCCCTGCTTCACACATTGTTTGTGTTCGCCACAGTCCTCCTTTGCTTCAGGGGCACAGTTACTGCTTACTGTAGGAAATCGGTCAGGTGAAAAAATAATTGTTGGTCGTGTTGCATGTAATGTCACTTTGATCTTATATCACAAAGGATACGTGGAGGGGACATACATGAGGCATGGACAACCCGTTACATTCTTACCACATGGGACGGGTTTGCCAGGAAATGCCGAATTATAGTGCCCTCATACTACTTGTGTTATTGGCATGGCTTTAGTCAATTTGGGTACGACATTTTAGTCGTTTCATTCGCCATAGAGGACTTAGAAACAAAATCAATAATTTTCCTAGCTCCCCTTACATCTTTCAATCTCCTCTGATGTAAAGACATTTTAATTCTATAGAGTCCTACTGCATGAGCAGAGTAACATATAAACAAAATGGTGTTAGTTAGAGGCTGTTTGCTTGTATTTGCTTCAAATCACTCGCTCTGTGATTGGTCTAAGAAACTACCACCCCTCTCGACCAATCAGCAGGAACAAAACTAAAAGCGACTGCAACTTAGTCTTTCACGTTTTCCTGCGCTTCAGACAAATTACGTTTGAGCTGTCGTTGTGAATTTTCCCTTTGTTCTAACTGGCCGTTGTGTTAACTCTACCTTCACTGATTTACTCGACATGCAATCGAACAGGGCTTTAAGTGGAATCAGAAAAAAAATATTTGGATTGATAGTAAGGTCCATAACTTAGGATTGCGATTTCTCTATTTGCCAACCAAATTTCAACATTCAAAAGGGGAAAAAATAAAGACCATTTGTTGCTTATTTTATCAGAATATTTGAGCAGAAATGTAAGTGACTCACCTTCGATAACAAATGTAATGAAAACAAAACCAGTCAAAAGAACTATGAGCAAGGAAGTGTTTTTCATCGCTGCATTTTAAAACCTGCTGTATCTGGACAAAGAACTATGCGTCAGTGGTTGGCACAAGTGGAACTAAATCAGACTACAAACAATATGAACGTTTCAATGCTCTTAAGCTGTGCAAATTATACCGCAATAATCAAACTGCACTGTTTTACCACTTGTCTTGTTTTTCTTAGTGGTCCTTTCAAAGAACGGCTCGTAAACCACCACTATTGATGATAACGTTCTTCACTGACACTAAATAAGGTTGACCTTTCAGCTTTGTCAAAGTTTGAAAACTGCTTCGTTTTTAAACGCGCGTGATAAACCGTTTGCATTCGCTGACCGTGCGCGCACTTATTGGAAGAAGGATTTTCGCGCGCAATCGCGACAACGTCATGAACTTGAACTGACAAACAAAAATATATTGTACCTTTGCTTTTCGTCCGAAAGAAGTATCGCCTAAAATATTTTCCCGATCTTAACTGCAAACCGAACAAGGCGCACACATACACGTCACAATATTGTTTTCATTATTAGAATGTAATTAAGTAATTAACGTGCTATCCGCACGAGTTCGTAGGAAGACGTTTTTTGCGCCGTAAATCGAAGTTTTAAGTCATTGAAGACTATTTTGCATAGTAATTGAAGGTAACAAGGCATCATGGAGAGGAAATCCACTAAAAAGCTGCAACTCTTTCTCAGCCAATGAAAAATGGGCATGTTAATGAAATATTGTCAGAGTCGCACGCTTTTACGAAGTCACGCACGGTTTTTAGTCATAACCCTACAAGCTATGTACTTTATTTGTTCAACAATTCATAGTATGTAAACGTGTTTTTTTTCTTTTGAACGGCGCAAACAAACTTAAAGTTTAGAAGGTTTTTTTTTTCATTCTTATCAAATGTGAAGGATTTCTCTTCTGCAATCCCGCTTTGTTATGTCAACTTCCTGTCATCTAAAATTCCTTGAAATGGATCAAATGTGTACCGCGTGGTTGGTAGACTTATTATGCTAATATTTATTTATCTTGAAGTTCAACTGTACAGTGAAATTCGGTCTAAACGATATGCTACTTTCATCATTTTACTTGCAAGTTGAAATGATGGTTTTGGGACAAAGGTAGTCTATTACAAGAGCTTACGTGACGTTGCTGCAAGTATTTTGAGCTAAGCACGAATCTTTCAAGAATATTGATATTCCATACATATGATATATTCCTAAGTGCTCTAAACCTGGGGTTAGGTTCATCGCCGGGAAAAATTAACAAGTGCTACAGAAAGTAACACATCCAGGGGTGCTGTTGGTATAAAAACTCCATTTACGAAAAAGGAGGCTAAGGTCCAAACCTTGTAGAAATATGTATTAAACTTGTTAAATTAACGACAACATTTGGCTAAAACAAAAACTCTGAAACTTCTTAAAATTCCAAACAAAAGGGTAACAAGTTTGCGTGAACGAAAGCTAAAAATTAGCAGACTAAACTCCGTGAAAACAAACAACAGAAGCGCGCGAAAAGTGTCCATGTCAGTCGTCCAATTTTTTGGACGTGATTGGCTAATTTGTGAAATCACGTGCGGCGCGTAAATACAAAAATAATTATAACTATTACAAATTCCACAAATATTATTATTGGTGCATTCGCAGCTTCATTTTTCACTAATCATTCTGTACATTTGTAATCGGACAGTTGGCTGTAACTGGACACCTGTAATCGGACAGTTGAAGCAGCCAATCATACTAGGTTCACTCAGATAATCCACCAATCACAGAAAAGAACAAAAGAACCATAGCAACAACCACTTATCCACGGAAAAACTGGGGAATTTCCAAAACGGAAGAATTTTTAACTTAAGACATTGTCTCCACTGGAGATATTTGTTCAAGGTGTATTTTTTCGTTTCGGAAATTGAAATGGTTATGATTAATTAGTAACAAGGCTTCTTGTCGTCCAATTCTGTCTGTAATTATACTCGTGATTAACAAATCGGACTCCTACTTTGCAGTCGTCATATAATTACACTCATATAATCACAGACCAAATTGGACTCCACTCGGTCCAATTACCATTATGATTACAAAGGGGGGAGAGGAAAAGGTAAATCGTAATTTGAAATTTAAAAACGAGAGATGTTTTCTTCACTTGGGTCAACCTCAAGGATACGGTATTCTCGTGGGTTCTTTTAATCCTCCCTTTGAAAAAGACATGTTTCCTATCTTTTTTGACCAAAATAGCAGTTGCTATTGAAGCTGACTATAAAATCTGTGCAAAGCAGGGCTATCAAAGATTTAAAGAACATGTCGCAATGTATATATTTTTTCTATAATCAGCATATAATATAAATAATTACAGATGTATTTATATGTGTAATTGTATAACATTGTTAAGCATTTTAATGTTAAAATTTTCACTCTTATCTAATAGCCTTGAAATTTTCAATTTGTCTTCTTCATTAATTACTTTTATTTTACTATTATTCACAATTATTATCATTAATGGTTTTCCTTAACATATAAAGACTATGCCTGGTTAACTAACATTTCAACCAGAACTATATTCTAACGAGCTTCTTACAAAAGCGCAAAAAAATTTTCCCAAGCAGAATTTTACTCCAAGCCACCATAAAAAGCTCTTTTTTTTTCTGTGATTACATTTGAAGTGAATTAATTACTATTAAACAAAAAATATTCTTGTATTTACAAAGAATGCTGGCATAAAGCTACTGATGACCTGGCAGTTCTATACCTGGGCCACGTTGTTGAAAGGGCAAATAATACTATCCAAAAGGTAAATCATTATCCAGCTGCTAAGTGTTATGGGTTATAAAACAGACAGCCCCATTCACCAGATAGAGATTTACCAAGCAGATAGTGTCATCCACCCTTAAAAATGCCAGAGCCACCTATCGCTCTCTTTTAACTCTTTAACTCCCAAGATCTGATTGCTAATTCTCCCCTCTAGCTGCTACACATTTCCTTGTAAATTAGTTACAGGAAATTGGTGTTAGATCAAGATGACAACTTATTCCTGATAAGTTTGAGTATTCTCATTACATGTTTGGAGGATAATGTATGGATATTATAGGGAGAAGTAACATGTTGATCACTTTGGGAGTTAAAAGGGTTAAGGAATACAGGACATTTCGCACAAAAGACTTTTCACACATTGTGTGAAATGACCACTAAGAATTGTGCAAATGGTCCAAAACTTGTGCTAAAAGACTTGTGCGAAAAGTCTTTTGTGCGAAATGTCCAGTTACCGGGTTAAGCAGTGGTCTCCACAGGGTTTGTTTCTTGAGATTTGTCTGCAAGCTCCTGCCCTTGAGTGAAAATCAAAGAACTGGTGGCATTCACTTGATCAGAAATGTTTATTGTATCACAGTAAACAAGTGAAGTGTTGAGCAACCAAATCACAAGTGACAAGTAACCCAGGCCCTAGGAAGAAAAAATAGAAAATTACAACTAATTTTATTATTGGTAAGTTTTACTCAAGCCAAGAGGCACATTCAGCCAGAACTTATCCTGGTTTCCACAGCAGGAAGCAACTAGGAGTATTACAACTGCCCCCTGATACCGGTGAATTGTCAGGGAAGGTGATTGAAATGCTGGGGGGGGGGAACCTTGTCCATTCCAAGGTACCCCCCCATCAGCATTTAATTCACCGGTATCCATTTATACTCCTAGATAGAGAGAGGCACTGAGAACTGAAATGTTTAGCCCTTGAAAATAACACAAATCTAGACCTTTGGCCAAGACTCCAGCACAAAAACCCTAAAGTCACTGCATTCAATTGGTGAGAGATACTTTTACCTTAATTGAATAAGAGAGATTGTAAGTTTTGAGCTCAGTAGAAGAAATAAAGAGGATTTTTTTTTCATCTTGTCACCAGCATGGGACATACAAAAAAAAAAAAACAGAGTCCCCGTGAGGAATCGAGCCTCAGGCCTTCAGGTTCTACGCTCCCATGTGCTACCACTGAGCCACAGAGACTCTATGGTGAGTGAAGCCCAATATGATGTTCATACATAACATGCATCCATACATACCGCTATGATCAGTGATGTTGATTTACAAACATTGTAGCGTGGAATCCAAAAGTCTGAGATTTGATTCCTCATGGGGACTCAACATTTTTTCTTTGTCTCATGCATGAGACAAGATGAAAAACATCTTTCTCTACTTTTAACTTGTATCCACAAGGTGTCTTCACAATGTGGTATGAGAAAGGATTTTCACAAATAAATGCAGAAATGAAACAAATGACATTAGGAATGTTTGAGAGGAATCCCAGAAGAGGTACATGTCAATTTCTGGGTGTGGTGCCTTAGAATTACCAAATGTTAACCTGTTTCTGTTTGACGTGGGAGGTGCCAAACTCTTCAATCAGAACTATTATCATTAGATCCTGTAAAATGATCCCCTATGGGGGGGGGGGTTTATCCTTGGGTTGAAACTAGTTACTGTAATAGTTGAATTATATATTCACAATCATGGTCATTGGGAATGAGCTCACCACTGAAGCAAATAATGCTGAATAATCAGGTAAGAATTCCACACAGTTCTTGCAGCGCACTGGCCCCAATGTTGTGATGACATTTACAATTTCACCCTGGACTTCTTTTTTCAATTCCAGAATGTTGTACAACCAGAGGCTTGTAATTACTGCTACAAGTACTACCATCACAACTGAAATAAATACCTCCTGAAAGAAACCAATGTTGAATTTAAAAAAAAACTCTGTTATCAGGGAGGTACCATCTAAAAACCTGTGAAATAGAAGTCTTCCTCAATCCTCAACCCTTTAATCCCAGAAGTAATTAATGTACAACTTCTCCCTATACTATTCATATATAATCCAGCAGACAGGTGAAGAGAAAACTCAAACTATCTGGTAGAAGTGACCTTGATCTGACATCAAATTCTCCCGTCTAACCTACAAGGAAATGTGTAGCAGCTAGAGAGTAGAATGAACAATCAGATCTTAAGGGGTGGAGTTGGAGGGTTAAACACCTAAATTTCTCTCCAAGATTAATATAAAATTTTGCAAAGTACCATCTTGATAAAACTCTTGATTATCAAACACAGTACACAAGGAGATGTAAAAGACTCAGAGGAGAGAATTACAATTTAGATCTTGGTGTTTATAGGGTTGAACCATCAGCTGCCTTAGACAATTTCCCTCTTTAGAGTTGATTTCTCTCTTTATCTGATTTGTAATTCTCCCTATTAGCAACTTGTGTTCCTTTGTAAATCACTTGGGAACAATTCAACAAAAATTAGGTAGAAAACATAAAATAATAAATTGTAATTTAGCAGTAGACCTTAACAAAGTAGGAGGAAAGAGAACCAGGGAACATAGACAAGAAACAGAAAAATCTCTTCTGCAAGGACAGGAACTAAAAAAACTGATTCAACTTGCATGAAATCCCAGGTTTGGGGATCCCACTCTTCTGTTCAGACGAGGTGAACTTAAATCAAATAAAGCAAAATTTTCACTTACTGCAACTGAAACTTTATTTGCCACTCTCTCATCTTTATGAATTGCACACGATATCAGCAGCATTGCTATTGCCAACAGTCCTGCTACTATGACAACACCAACAAACAACTGTGCGCAAACTCTAATGGCTGGGTCAAAGTTGAAGCTTGTGAGTGGCTCATCTTCATCAGTGTAAACTGCAGTTTCATTGTTGTAATCAAAAGGGTATTTCACAGTGATGTTGAAACTCTTATCGCTGTGTTCCTTGTATACCCCTCCCTTATCGTTGTAAGTGATAACCAAAGGAGCAACAGTGAAGCTCAGAACCTGTAAGAAATGATTCAGCGTTAATCTTTAACCACGACAGAATTTCTCCTTACAATACTAATACAATAACAACCAGATAAGTGATGAGAATAAAGAAAAATATCAATTTGGGGAAAATTAGTTGATCCAGTACAAAATTATCTGAACTAACATTGTAAGAATTAAACAGGTGTTAATATAAGAAAGTCATATACTTGAACTGCGAAAAATAACGTGAATATGAAAGTAATCCTCAGAGGTCATGGGTTCAAATCCCATGCAGGCTTTAATTTTTTTTCAGGCCTTATTTTCACTGCTGCTCAAGTAGTGTTCATTACTGCGAAGATCACTTTCATATTCATGTTATAAGAATTGTTTGGTTGACAGTAAGGAGAATTTCAAATTTGATCTGGGAGTTAAAGAGTTAATACCCTAACATCAGTATGCATATTCTTCATACTGTTTTCTATAAATTTTCTAAGGTGCTGACAAAATGAAAACCTAGAGCTTTTTTAAAATGGCAATTATTTTTAATCTTAGCGGTTGAAAGATTAATTAATGAAAAAATTCCAAGTGTTTTGTTGTTCCCACAGATCCTTCCAAGATTTCCTCAATTCATTTTCTAAATCAATAGACCTACCATGGGGATTAACAGTGCTGGTTAGGAAGATAAATTTTTGTTTGAGTGTTTTGCAGCTTTCCGAACTACCTAGATGTAGGGAAAGGCTGCAAACTGCCATATGTAGTTTAGAACGATTAGGGAGATTAAAGTGTCTAGCAGCTGATTAGGATGTGCCCTTGTCATTTCTTTCTATGTCATGCAGGTGTTTTCGGAATTGGTCACCTTATCGTCTTCCTGTTTCACCAATGTATAACTTATTGCAGTTAGTGCAAGTTATGCAGTAAATGCAAGTTATGCAATAAATGACAGTGGCAAAGGTACAGGTAAAGTGATTAGTGATGTAAATGGATCTCTTGGGTCCTGACATTTTCTCTACGTTAAGAATGAAAGGACAAGTTTTGCATTGTGAGTGAGCGCATTTGAAAGTTCCAGATTGGTCATTGGTTTGAAATGAACTTCTAACCAAAAACATTTGTGGAGGTTGTTTTACTCGTTTTGGAGTAATTAAAGTTTTAAGAATGATAGATTTAACTATGTGGTCGTGAGGGTGAAGTGTGAGAGTAATTGGAATGTGGTGAGTGTTTTCCTTCTCAGCTGTTTGTAGCACTTACTGTTGATCAATTTTTTTGGCACAGTGGTGGCCTGCTTGAACGAAAGAAACAAGACAGTCATGTTTATCAAAACAACTGGCACATTACCTCCAATTTTTCAGAAAAATTAGAGTCGTCACTGTATAAACAACAAAGTCTGAGAGACCATGAAAAAGGTATGGAATTCTTGACGTGTGACAGATGTGAAGATGAATACAAGTAGCTATGTGAATCTGTAGGTTTGTAGTAAACACTGGTGCATAAACTGCTGCCTCAATTGAAATTATGATGTCTAGAGAACCAAAGAAGTGTCAGAAATTTTCCAAGTATATTTAAGATTGGGTGAAAGGAATATTTAGACTGAAGAGAATCATGAAAGAAATAAATAAAACATTGAAGTAGTTCAACAACAGACGAATGAAAATCCTGCAATTGAAATCATGCTTGTCGGTAAAAATGATATTTCAAAGCTGCTCTGTAATATAGTTGAGGAATGGACAGGAAATGCAAAACTTAATTTTAATTAATTGCGTTTATTGGATGTTAAAAATAACCATAAAGATATAAAAAGAAAATAAGAGTATAAATTACTTCTACATCAGCCAATTTACTTGGATAAGGGCAGAATTACACTGGAGCAAATTCAAATATTTGCCAATTTTTTGCAAGCTAAAGATGGACAAGGAAAAAAATTATTGTGTTCCGCCAAAGTGCACACCAGACTAGAATAGCTAGACATGTCTTGTGTACCATGACAGCCAAATGGTTAAAAAATAACCCAAAGAAGCTGTGAGGCCGGACATCGGCCCCTTTGAAGAATGGAGAAAATTTGGCAAGTTTGTCAAATTAGGGGTCACTTGACTGATTTTTTACTTCAAAAAACAAAAAAAGCTCTAATGTGGCACCGGCTTACATGACAAAAAAATCAAGAAGAACTGTTCAGATGAAGACACTCTGACAACATGTTTGATCATATTGTGAAATTAAACAGACATCAGCCAAATTTGATCAGAAAACATCAGATGGCTGATCATTGTTTCCGGTGCTGGAAACATCTATTTAATCTGTGCTGCATATCCACATTTGCTTTCTTATAATAACTGTGGCTCTGTTCTTTGTTGTACCAAACAATAGACAACATTGTCAATCATTTGAGTCGTTATATAGCAGATATGAAGTCCGGTTCATTTGATTTGTTACAGCTGTGACCTGTTTGATCGAAATTTATTTTCTGGCAATAATCGTAGCGGTTATTACTGGATGACCAGCATGTCGAGGCATGTCTTCAAAACACGGAAGACTTTATAATCCTTCAGTCATGAACCACGAAATAACGTGATCGTCGATAAATGCGTTATCAAAGTAATAACCTTATCTAGAGCAGCGCGAGTCATTTGCCTAAGGGGAATTGATGAGTTTTTTATCAGTATAAAATTTCTGCGTGATTTTCCAGGCGGTTTTAAGACTCGAACACGTGCAAATTACGACAGTTAACTAACACACCTCTAAATAAGGATTCCTTACTCCTTTCACTTCTTCCTCTTCCTATCACGTTTTACCGAAACAGCAATATTTAGCTTTTTTTCTGGCTGACACCGAAAGACGAAATCTCCCAATAATAACTTCAGGATTTTCGGTATTTAAATAAAACAGGGTAAACGACGAGGCTTAAAAAGGGGCTTCGTTTGGAAACAACCGCGTAATCTTCACTTGTTTTCAAAAGATAACTGCTTACATTGCCCAAATCAGTGCTCGCTCGTCAGTTTGCCCTTGTGATGGCTTCAAAGCCATTAAATGCTAAACATGAACAAAAATTATAACGCTTTTAGTGGATGTTGAGTGCCATCTAATGATGTACACTTCTATGTAGCATGTAATTAAGCTATTATAAAATGGTGACTGCAGATAATTAACACGCACTAGAGGGCCTGATCATTATTCCGAATCGTAACATTACTTACAATCTCAATGACCTTCACCCAGAAAACAGGATGTCTTAGGATCTTCCATCGTGATTCACCTCGATAAAGCAGTGCCATTGCTCGGAGAAAAATGAGCCTCGAGGCAACTTTAGTTTTCGATCTAGCCTCCGTCCGCCCGTGTTACCTTCGGTTTGTTATTACTGAGGAGAAAGACTAGGACTAGTAGGAGGGGGCGGGGGGCAGGGGGCCCAAGTGGGAATTGTCCCCCAATAGAGTATAAGAGGACAACGTTATTTTTGGCGTTCTCATTGATACTGGGATGAAAAATGAGATGGACGGCGTTACTTTGAAGGGAAACTCCGCGCGTGAGGATTAGCGCGCACTTTGTTTGACGTCACTGAAGGGATCTACGATATATGTTTGTTGACGTCAGAAAGCAACGAAAGAAACTCTTTGTGCGGGACAACTTTAAGACAATGAGGAAAATTACCATTTTTCTTTGTTTTCTGATTCTTGTGTGCGCCCTTTCTTCCACTCTAGTTTACGGCAAGAACCCGTGCTTTAGCCCTTCGAGAAATAGCCATAAATACAAATGTGAGCTGAAGAACGCCATTTTTAAGCCGAACGACTATAAAGATCACCTCTCGACTACTATAACCGACCTGTGAGTACAGCTAAGAAAAAATTGAACGAAAGAATGGGACAAGTAGGGCATTGTCTGGGATAAACTGAATAATTTATTTTAGCTCTAGAAGGAAACGGAGGTCTTTTTCTTCGGACTTCCGTCTTCTGAAAGTCCGATCGATGAGAAAGAACCCTGGCCCGCGTTGTTCAAATCTGGGTTAAGATGACCTAGGTTTAGCATGGAGTTTGATTTCAGGTCTGAAAGCTTTGAAAGAAAATTCAGTTCAAATCTTTTTGCTTGAAATTTGATCATTGGATGTTCTAAAAAGAATAGGGAAAATTTTCTCTAAAAGGCT